CGCCGGGCTACTGCGGGCGTGTACGCGGGGGGTTATTATCCTTTCCTCCTCCCCCGTCTGTACTGTCCGATCGACCGTAGGGGGTATCGGCGGGGTATGCGTGGCCCTCGTCGTTGGTTCTTCGATCTTTGTTGTTTGGGTCGCCCTCGTTCGGAATTCTCGCCCCGGGATAACGGAGCTTCCACCTTCGACCTGCAATCGTGTTGTTGTTGTCCTTGGCGGTATGTTTGCGTTGCCGAGTCGACATGCGGCGGTATCTCCCGTACCGTCGCTCCGGTGGTTGTGTGAAAAAATGTACGGGCATCCTCGCTCGCTTGTCGCAGGGCTGCCCACGCCGCTGGGTTTTCCCGGATAAATCTATTAAAGGTGCGTAGGTGAGGTCGGAGGTAGTCCCATGGGTTGCTGGCCGCATCCCTTCTCATCTTGCCGGTACTTGTTGGCGTTTTCAGATCAGTAATCTTCTCTTTCCTTATCGGCTTTTCGCCTTGGTAGCGGTATTGGTCGATACGGTACTGCTGAAACGGGAGTAGGTTACATTTTATATTTCTTTAAATCTTGTATGTGCGCTTTAACCGGTTGGCGATCCGTCGCCCCCTGTATTTCATAAACTATCGGTGAAATCTATAGGTCCGAACGATACGGTACGGGCCTAGGAACTTTGGCATTAATTTCGCGGCGATATTTTTTTCCGCTGACGATAACGCGTGATTACAACGCAATACTAGATCACCTACGCGGTATTGTTCGTCTCTACGTCTTAAGTTGTAACGCGATGCCTGGTTAACTAAGGTAAAGGTACCAGTAGTTGACCAGTTAAGAGAAATTTTCTATGGAAACAATGGTAATCCTTTACTCTATCAATAAATGGCGAGAATCAATGTATGGAGACGTTCGTTACACCCTTCAGATTATGTACCAAGACCACTTTTTAAAAAAAGTTAAGTTATACAAGTTTGGTAAATATTTTTGAGAATTCGGAAAATGATCCAGTAGTTGACCACTCTTGAAAAGGAAAAAACTAGTAATTGACCACCTCTTTTCGTTAGTAGTTGACCACTTATATTCGAAGCAAGGTTAAAAGACTAATGCTGGAAATCAGTTTATTATCGTTTAATTTTAACAATTAGCAGTACAAATCATATTTAAACAATAAAACGAAGAAATTAATCAAATTAATTGAATGAAACATTCATCTCAGGAACAGAATAAACATTACGAGTTCTGCCTGCTTTGGTGGGCTCATTAATATGAGAAACTACAGCATTGCATTTGTAGTCCAACACGTCGGGCTTCTCTGGCCACTTCCATAATCCACTAGTAAAATAGCAAAATAACAAATCCGGTCATTTCCATGGACGAAATGGTTGCTTTGGTTTTGGTTACTCGTAGAATTTTTCCAGGAAAGTAATGCCCTTCATATAAAAATATAACGTGTTCGTTAACAATTCTTTGGACAGGCAGCCAGACAGGCGATTCACTTTTGTTTAGTTCGGTTTCGTCTTCATTTTCTTCACTTTCTACGGCAAAATCGGGAATTTCTTAACTAGAATTCGAACTTTCAGATGAATATTTTAAAACATTTTTTGCTCTTTTTAATTTTAGTTGACGTGTCGTATTATTTTTAGCTTTCTCTTTTTCCTCCCTTTTCCTTTTCCTTTCTGCTACGCGCTCTTCTTTTAAACGTTTCATCTCTTCTTTTTTCTTTATTTTATTCAGGAAATATTGCTGACACAGTTCTCCTGAGGCAATGAAACGCATCTTTTCTTTTGGTATTCTCTTTTTGTGTGTTTTTTTATATTCCACACGTGGACAATAAAAATGCCTTTTGAATGGGCTTGGAATATTATTTGATGTGCTAGCAATAGGCGAAACATGCAATGTGGTCAAATTTTCAAGTAGCACAGGATCTTCGGTTGTTATGCTGTCTTCGAGTAGTACAGCTTGAGAAGTGTCATTATTTGAACTTTGACCAACAGTTCTATTCGCATTGTCGATCAACAGCGATGTATTCGTATTATCGTCGGTAGGTTGTTGATTTATATTGTTATGACTCTCCTGAATCGGTACTGCTGGAATAATGTTATCGTATACAGATTCTTCATCTGGGATGGTTATATCAAAAACGGAGACGGGTTCATTATTGTCCATGTTGACAAGATCTCTAACTTGAGTATTATTGTCGAAAGGTAACGCCCTTGGATTTACATTGTGATGTACAAATTCCTCGCCTGGAGTGGAATATTCTTCAAATTCATTTTGGAGTCCTTTCCATAGGAGAAATAGAGACGTGTCTTGCGGATTCCCGGTCCACTCTTCTGATGAACATCGAAATGCGTTTATTTTCTCCGTTTCGATATTTTCATTTAAAAATCGCAAGCCTTGCTTCAAATATTCCTCTCGCGACAAATGTTTTTCCACAGTTTCGGTTTGAATTTGTTGTTCCTGTACCGGTATGTTTACTGCCAACGGATTCCATGAATATAATCCACATTTTCGAAATCCGTTGCGTAAAATACTTTCGGTTACATTTTCGTTAATTATGACTTCGAGCAACTTTGCAAAATCTTTTTTTTTTTAAACTGGGTTATCAAAATTTGTAATCCTCCATTCGTGCACTTTCTTCTTCCAGTTCTCTTTTAAAGTTCTAAAAACAGCAACATCCATGGGCTGTAGAAAGTGGGTTGCATTAGGGTAGAGTGCCACCCAAATAATACCGTTTTTATCGTAAAACTGGCTCGTTTGTAAACTTAAATGCGAGGCGTGTCCATCCATGAAAAGAATGACAGGAAGCGTAATTTTTGATGCTACTAACCATGGGTAAAATATATCTGCAACAAACTCAAAGAATGCTTCGCATGTCATCCACCCTGAGTCAGTTTTACCCAAACCCCACTTTTGGGGAAAATTGATAGCAATTTCTTGGGGTATACGTTTGTATTTGTATAAAACTACTGTAGGTGCAACTACACCACTAGCGCTGCCCGTTAATAATGCTGTCAGACACTCCTTCTCATCTGGATTAATTTGTTGGTAAACAGTTTTACATCCTTTTTTCGTCAAGACTTTGTTGCCCTTAGGATTTAAAAAGAATGCCGTTTCGTCGCAATTGAAAATCCGCGATGGGTCATCCAAGATTGTATCAACATCGTTCTTCTTCAAGTAGCCATATACTTCAGAAAACCAATTGAATATCTTGTCACTGGTGACTGCCGCTTGTGAAATTGTTAGGTTTTGTGCCACTCTTTTTGATACTGTAGGATGTCTACTAAAAAAACCCTTTATCCAGCTATTACCAGGACGATCAATTTTAAATGGATTTTCACGTTTTACGTCTTGAATATAACGTTGCACGCTCGTTACAAGTTGTTAGACTATAACTGGGAAACCAGCCAAGGCCATTTTTTCTATCCATTGACGGATCTCATTTTCTTCCGTTTGATTTAAAACTGGAGGAGGTCCCATTTTTCTCTCCATCGGTGATTTCCCTTCCACTTTGTATTTCAAAGTGATTCGTGGAACGCCAAATTTACGTGCCGCCGCCCTTATTGGTGTTTTATGCAAGCGGACATCTTCAATAGCTCTCTTCATCGCCTCTTCGGTATAATTTCGAAAACAACCTTTGACTGGAGGCATCTTTATATTTATAATGAAATAATTTCTGAAAAGACTATAACTGGGAAACCAGCCAAGGCCATTTTTTCTATCCATTGACGGATCTCATTTTCTTCCGTTTGATTTAAAACTGGAGGAGGTCCCATTTTTCTCTCCATCGGTGATTTCCCTTCCACTTTGTATTTCAAAGTGATTCGTGGAACGCCAAATTTACGTGCCGCCGCCCTTATTGGTGTTTTATGCAAGCGGACATCTTCAATAGCTCTCTTCATCGCCTCTTCGGTATAATTTCGAAAACAACCTTTGACTGGAGGCATCTTTATATTTATAATGAAATAATTTCTGAAATAAACAATTAAGGAAATGCATATTAGTTTTACGTCGATGTTTATGGTGTCATGCACATGGCTGTCTTAAAACGTTGGACACTGGTCAATAATTCACCGCTAATGCAGTTAATAGTTGACCATGTGATCATCAACTAGGTGCCAGTATGCTATAACATGCAGATTTATATTTTGTATTTCTAACAAAGTGAGGTGTGTTACGTACGGGACGGGAGGACCTGGATATCTCGGAGGGGCTCGAGAGATCGCAGGATGGGGCAGGTGAATTATTAGAGATTATCAAAAGATTCCCGTATGATGTGGGGGTCCGCCAGATCAGCGAGAGGTCAGGCAGTCGAATACACGGCTCTACTGACTTCGTGACCTGGTTAGAGGGTGAGGGAGAAAGAAGGAACGCTCGGAAGTGCCAAAAAGTACCTTTATTCTATAGGGTTATAAATTTGATACATTTGCTCGCACCATTCGTATAGCTCGAGCGGTGCTGAACCGCGCCGTATTTCGTCGTGGTGTTTTATGAATGATTTTAGAATGGGGACCGGTATCTCATTATGCTGTGCGACTTTGATAGCCGTTGCAGTGTCTAAGACCTCTGGAGGAGGAGAGGGAGTCTTCCTTTCCTCCTCGTCGCTTGAGATTATTATAACTTCTGGCTCGCGGTCCTGAATTGTAACTGTCGCGGCTA